TATTTAGGGTACCCCAACAGGGACCCTAATTTAGAAAACTACCCATGTGACTGTGGTAAAGGACCCTGCTTTGCTATGCATGTCGGCCTCGGTCAAGATGATTGCAGGTCTGAACATATACCTTAAATTATAGGGGCCTTAATATTATGGTTTAAGGTATATTCCTTAATTAAGGGGTATTATCTCTACACCCTAAACCCTAGAAGGCACCAGCAGTCGAAGAAGGGTTGTGAAACAATGTTGCATTCGCTGCTTCACAAGCACTCATCGAAGCGCGTCTGCGCTGCTACTGCTACTGCTGCCTCTGTGCTGCAAGGGCCACTGCCACTGCACCAAACCCTAAAACCTGAACCCCAAACCCTACTACTGCTACTGGTACTGACCCCAGGCTGAGTGGTTCTCACGTGGACAAGCTTGTGTCCGCATGCCTTAATTTGGGAGGATTGCCTCAAAGTGCTGTTCGCTTCAAGTTGGGGCCGCTTTTTTGGCCATATGTTCGGACCCACATTCCTGCACTTGCTCATGACTGCTGCTCTCTCGTCAGAAACGTTGACCTTGTGAAGACTCGCAGCATGGCCGTTATCACTCTGTCACCACCATTCAAAATCATGAGAAATGTTCTTGTCTCGTCACTGTCGTTTACCCTCATTATGATTAACACTTTCCTCTTTATCATCTACGTAAGATGACCTGACTAGTATCTTCGGGAACCGGAAGACGTGGCACGACTTGGACGGGGTTTTCGGAATTGCAAGCCTCCTGCTACTAGCACGACCTGTTACTGCTACTTATACGCATACAGGTCAAGGACTCTGCGATGATGACCTGAGCTCTAAGCTAATGCGATGACAACGACGAGGACAACGACTAATCACTTCTAACAGCAACAAGCTTTAGGATTGCCGTGTTTCAGGATGGGGCGGGCATACCGCAGCTGGTTTTACTGGATAGGTTCTAGGGCATGCATTCGTTCTTCCTGGCCTTCGACCATAACTGAACTCGGTGAGCCAGGTGATGTCTTGGAGTCTTTGATTATACAAAACCTCGAACCACAAAGCAGTGAACCTGAAAGTCAAAGCCTAGATTTGTCACTAGATGAACCCTGCACCCGCGTCCATGGTTGCCTGCCCACCCTCTGATGCAATCGGTGCGGTGGAATTGCTGGGAACTCTTTGGACCTTCCAATAGACGGTTTATGGGTCACGGCATGATGGTTTCTTCGTGTTCGGTTCTCTTGGTAAGACGAAATCCCTTTGAAAGGGCGCACTCAGTGGGGTTTTAAGACAGATAAGGGTCTGTTTCGAGGACTTCGGTTGGATATGAATTAAGGCCCCTGCATTTTTGCGCAGTCCCGACGGAAATTGGATGCAAACTCTCGCGGCTCCACTGGGATTTGGGTCTTGTTTGTGTCTGAAGGAGCTCATATGTTCCATGTGCTGTAAGGTCTTACAAGTATCCTGGAGACTCTCTACCAACATGGAAATGAGTCCGCGAAATAAGTTGAACATCATACGTGTCAAACATCGAATCGGCTTTGATCCCACGGATTCCGGATGAACGGCTGCTGATCATGATGAACTCTTACGCACGGACGTACCTGAGAGCAGAAAACACAACCCTCTAATGTTAAAACTATATATCTTACATGTACCCGAATGTACCCTGTAAGGGTCCCTAGAAAGGCCTAAGGGTCCATATTAGGGGCCCTATATATCCTACATGTACCCCAACGTACCCTGTAAGGGTCCCTAGAAAGGCCTAACTAGGGTCCATATTAGGGGCCCATAATTGAAAACCTTAGAACCCCAGCAGGTCGGCATCCTGGCTCCCCCAATGCGAAAGGAAGCTACAGGTGGGGAGTTTGGGGTAGGGTTTAGGGGTTTAGGGTTTAGGGGTTTCGGGTTTAGGGTTTAGGGTTTCTATAAGGCTTCTATTAAGTATATAGACCTTCTATAATTATAAGGCTCCTATAACGGTAACTACCCACCTGAAAATGTCCTAGACAATGGTGTTTTCACGTCAGGTTTGCGAACTCGCCCAAGTAAGGAGAACCTAAATGTCACAAAACCCGCCAAGACCCAAACCCTACACACGACACCCCGAGCAGGTCTTTCTCTCCCCTGTATTAACAGTGGGGTAGGAACCATCCGAAGAACAACCCAATATCTGAATCGAAAGATTGACAAAACCCAAGTCTCAAACCCTGATCTAGTAGGGATTTTGGGTTAGGGTGATCGCCTCGGGCCTCTAAGCCGAAAACCTACACACTGAGTCCCCGAAACGCTTGGTGGCCCCCAAAGTCACGAAGCCCCAAAGGCAGCAAAAGCTGCGACACTGCCTGGTGAGTCTTGCGCACGGCCGTTGGTTCTGCAGCCTGGTCGGTTCGAGTTTATGTATACGGGAGAGAAAAGTCTCAACCTCACGTAACCTGATCTCCGCTAAACTGACAGGCTCGCAAGAAGAGATCCCTAACAGTCTGAACTCCGTTCTGATGCCCTTTGCCTGCCAGGCTTCCTGAAAACGCGGGTGTGACATTCCGGTTCTTTGGTTCCAGCACGGCTTAGGGTTCCGTGTTCGTCCAGCAGTTTGATATGGGGACTTCCGAAAATAGGGGACCCTAGTTTAGCACCCTAAATAGTAGGATCCTTATTATAAGGACCCCCAAATACGGTACCCCTTATTTTCTGAAACTCCCATATGGGAGATCTTAGAGTACCGTTGATATGGGATTAGGTGCAAGGTCTAAACCCCCTGCCGACAACAACAACAAACATGTTATATCACCCCATGTACATCCGCGGCCAATTCGAGATTAATGGAGCGGAAATTCTAACATACGGTTCATCACACCAACAAACATTATTAATTGAGGTTGCCCCTGTTCTGGCCTCCGGTGGTCGTTGTTGGGCCGACTGAACAGCTGCCTTGGATGGTGGGTCCTCTTATAAAAAAGGCTCCCTTGCGACCCGGTTAGGGATTACAGTTTGGATTAGTTGAAGGCTTGAGGTTTAGAGTGTAACAGTCAAGCCGTTCTTTCAAGTGCTCTGTGCTTCGAGGTTTAGCTTGCTGACGCAGAAAGCAACAAACAAGCCGCATGACACCGGGCAAACAATCATAGACGTAGGAGTTTCAAACCGTGGTCGCAAAACCCCAGACCTAAATACAACAAACCCATAGGCCTATGCACCAAGACGGCTAGCGTCAACAGCCCGGACACTGGATGTAGACCCCTGCGTCACAACCTACGGTCTTGAAACGAACATACAAACACATCAGAGCAACAACTACGATATGAGTGCCAGGAAATGAGCGAACACAACAAGGACAAACATAGTCAAACGACCCCACACGCACAACCAACACAGAGTGCCCCCCCAGGTGTGTTTGGGGTCTTGTCTATTCGTGTTTTGCTGTATCCAAGCCGTTGTTGCTGCCGCTCCGGCTGCTGCGTTCTTCTCGGTTCATATGGTTCATATTTGTCGGATCTCCAAACGTTATGCTGCTTTGCTTCTCTTAATATGGGGGCCTTAAGAATTAGAATAAGGCTTTGGGTATGTTGTACTATAAATAAAATAAGAAGGAGCCGCCAAAATAGTATAGGTAACTACTTAGGCCCCCCATATTGAGCCTACACCCCCACAACCTAGAGTCTGGGTTCTTCATCGAATCCCAGACGCGAAAAACAAGTAACAAAGGTGAGTTAGAATAGGGTTTTGGGCTCCTGTATAAAACAAGTATTATTAATAAGGAGCCCCCCCCCCCCCAAATACTGGAGGTAATTATTTAGGCTCCTATATTGACCATGCATGAACTCTTGGGCTTCATGCCAGAACAAGAAATGCCAAATCTTAGTTGCTGAGTTCATCAGCCCAGACAACTGTACACTTTCAGTTTTATCCTAGGTAACTAATGCTATCCCCAAAAAAAATGGTAAAATGTGTCCACTCAACTACGCAAAAAAATCCTGAAAGTCTGAAACCCGAAGCCCTGAAAGTTGATTCGGTTTCAGACTTTAGGGAAACGGCTTTAGGATTTTATATGGGGTTTGTTACAGGGTTGAAGGTTGTCATGTGGGTACTGGGCTTATAATGGGGATTGAGGAAAAGCGTTCATAGGCATCTGGGGCTCATCGCAGGGCTTCACAGCTTCGGGGCTTAAGCTTGAAGCATCGTGCATCGGCATAACTGCAGCAGCCATAAGACCCAGAGTCAAATACGCAGTGTCTGAAATTAACAAAATGGCATACCAAACCCTTTCTATTCTATATGTACTGGCTGCTGCAATGATGCCACAGTATGAATAGCTGTGCATTCTCTACAGCGATATGTCTAATTAGTGTAGTACTCAACTACTCCAGAGCCCAGAACAATCAGGTTCCCTCGGCCGAGCTCACCGCTTGTGTCATCTCTGCGCCCAGTGCACCGTAGCCTCACGTGCTTGAGTAGAACGGGTTTGTCGGCAAGAGTCTTAAAGGGATCTTCCTCAGTCAAGCTTCTACCATTCCACTGTGTATGCATGCCTCTCTCTGTCTCTCTCTCTCTCTCTCTCTCTTTCTTTCCCTCCCTCAACCCTAATTAAAGCCTAAACCCTAAACCCTAAACCCTCCCTCCTGTTAACAGTCTATGAATCCTCGCAACTCGGGACACCGGGGACTTTTCAGGGTCCTCCCAGCTGGAAAAGCCCCCAAGCCAAAAGCCAAGCAAAACATGCGCACTAATACGGTTGATGATATAAATCCTGCAATATTCCAGAAGTCCCAGAGTTTAGGGTCCGTATGGTAATGCAGGATTCTTATCATCAACAGTCGTTTTGTTTGCTACCTCTTTCCAACTTCTTTTCCAGCCTGATAGGTTTGGGGTTTAGGGGTTTAGGGAGATCTTTACTCGACTCAGTGCACATGTACTTTGCTGGAGGGCCTGTAAGGGAAACCATAAGAAACACGAAGCCAAAAGCAAACTAACACTACGGTTGATGATATAAATCCTGCATTACCCATAGTAAGGAGTATACCATAAGTCCCAATAGTTCCGTGCCCTTGAGGAAATGCAGGATTTATACCATCAACAGTAGCACTTATATCAGTGCCGAACAGCTCTGTTACGCGAACCACAGACTGAGGCCCTGACATATGGGTCTAAATGAATACTAGCAGTATACCCTTTTTGTCCTTACTTCCCCAATAAGCCGGGGAAATAAAAGGTTAAACTTGCAGATTACTACTATAAGAGCCCAAAAAGTGTAGAGTTTGGGTATCGGAGAACTGAGTGTCCGTACTGTAGTGTATACTAGGACATACACCAAAACCCCATTCTAATTATGAAGGCCCCGAACATTAAGGCCTCAAGCAGTTGCCAAAATCTGGTGGGCAGATTCTAAACTTTGTTCGGTTGAGGTCGTGGTCTCAAGCGTTGTCGGTATGAAAACAAGCAGGCTCCCTGATACACTGTAACCTAAACCCTAAACCCTGAACTCTAAACCGTCTGATGCACTTCTCGACTTGCAGGATTTGGGTTTAGGGTCTGTAGGTCTTCGCACATCAGAGCGAGAAGCACACAACGAGTACTCCCGAGTTAGGCCTTCTTGCAAAATGAATATAAAATAGCACTCTCCAATATCAGCATTCATGACATGTGAAAGCAAGCACCGCGAATTGACACTCACTCATATTCTAAGGAGCCGTACCCGCACTCGCAAGTACTATCGCAAAGTTCGTGTGAGGAGTCTCCATAATGAAGCCTCAGACGGAAGCCCGAATCAAAACCCAACACCCACGAAACCCACCAGCCGAGGCCCGAATACTCCAAACCTCTAGACCCCTTTGTAAATCCTAAACCCAACACCCTCAGATGAAGCCTGCTCCCCAAGACTCTGAAACGCAAATCTGACTTCTCTGTAGCCTATAGATCGAGACGAAAACTGGGTCCAATATAATACGGATCTCTTGTTCTCTAAAGGGGACTGTATGGAGTTGCGTGGTTGGGGAGGCTTGTTGTGCGGTCCACTGGGTGGTTTAGGGTTTGGGCTTCTAGACAACTCTCTTCTTCAACAACCAGGCCCTAAAAAGTTCAAACTTTTTAGGATAGGCCTAATATATAAAGCCAAATAGTTTAAAGTTCTCCCCTTGGCTATCTAAGACAATGTCTTTCTAAGCTCCACGGACCGCTAAGAACAACCTGGGCAACCGCACCCGCGCCCATAGACTCGATCGAGACCTGCCGCTCCCCATCTCGCAAACCAACAAACCCTAAACCCTAAAGAACCTACCTTTTTAAGGACCTATATAAGGAAATCATAAGAAGGAGCCCTAAAAAGGTAGATTCTTAGGGGTCCAGGTAAACCCTAAACCCTACTTTAAGGATCACTCGGCCTTTGCAGGTAAGGAAATGGGTGTAAGTGTAAGGAAAGGTATATGGGTAGAGTTCTCTAAATCAGGGTCCCTTTTGAGGTACTGGTTTATAAGGGTGCCTGCCGCCTTCTTTGGGGTTCCTAAAACGGGGCCCTAATTGAGACAACTACCCATATGTCCAGTCCTGGCCCTAGGAGCTAGGACTTCTCGGATAGGTATGCCGCAACCAGATCTGCGCCCTCTCTACCCGAGGTTAAGGCCGGACCCGAAGACCGAAAAACTAGACACAGGGGCTTAGGGTTGCGGGTTCAGGGTTCACGGGTTTAGGGAGCAAAAGTGGCCTGAGGTGTGATTTTTTGGATGAGAGGCTGCGTGTTCGGGATTGAAGTTCTCAAAAGACTGGTTGCAACATCCCTATACTAATAAAAGCGTATCAAACCCTGGTAAAGTCAAGCTTCATACGGTCTTAGGCATAAAAAGGGTGGAAGGGTTTACGTCCTTCCTCGAATTGGAAACTGCCCTGAGCCCAACTTACTATTCATCTGCTACTTGGGACCCCTAGGCGAAAGGAACCTAACCCGAAACCCTAAACCCTAAACCTTAGCCTGAAGTCGGACGCGAGCCCTTCGAACCGAGTGTCCTCCATCCCGAAAAGCTTGGAGCCCAGCGCAAGCTCTAAAATAGGGGCCTTGATATCAGAATAGGGTTTTGGGGTACACTGTACTATAACTATAACTGTAATAAGGAACCTCGAATATAGTATTGGTAATTATTTGGGGCCCTACATTCAACACCAAGCGTCCTGACCACCCAGACCCGTGATTACGCCTAAACCCTCCCAAACTCAGAACCCGGAACATGCAAAGACCCTGAGCTCTTCATCGCCCGACAAACCCCAATCCCCCCCAGAAAAAAGGTAGTGTAGGGGCCGTATAACAATCTGAATAGGGGTTTTGCGGTGTATGGTACTAGAACTATATTAAGTCCTAAACCCTAAGCCCTAAAACCCTAAACCGTATTAAGGAAGCCCCAAAATAGTATTGGTAACTATTTGGGCCCCTATTTGAGTCAGAATCTGGGAACCAGGGCCACAGTCGGCGTGAGGGGCACTCCGCCCGGCCCGAAGCTGACCTCAGTAACTGGGACGATGCGAAAACAGTTGGGTATTCTAGGGGCCTTAATAGTTAGAATAGGTTTTTGGGTGCTACTAAACTATATATCTATATAGTAAGGAACCCCCCAAAATAGTATAGGTAATTATTAGGGCCCCTACATTACCAACAAGCACCCTGCTGCTTTGGTTCAAGGCTTTCGGGCTTCATGGCGCTTCCTTAGACGGCCCACGGATGGAGTCTATTTCAGGCTTTACAGGGTCTGTTTAGCACAAGGAGGGGCTGGTTCATAAACCGAGGGTATGTGGTCCACATGGAACCACTCCGCAGGTCGTTTGAAGGATATCAGAAAGGCCATCCTACCGCAAATGCCGTAAGCCGCCGTAAGCGTTAAATACTAAGCTTCTTGTGGATGACGGAGTCTGCAGCCGTGTCATCTCCAGGACCCGGGCGATGGGAGGCAGCACGGCTCCATCCTGCAGAAAGCTCTGAAATACAGTCTGCACTTAATTAAGACTCAGAGGATGCATCGCTTGAAACTCTTATGGGCCGGAGAGGTTGCTGGGCTATCTGGACCTTGTGGGTCTCTGGGGCTCAGGGCAGGCTGCAGCGCTCCAGGGCCTGGGAGATGTGCGTCTCCATTGCCGAGGAGGGTGGCGGATGGATTGCCGCGAAGGCGGCATTCGCCAGTCGCTCAGCCATCTGCACCTCAGGAGGTCGGAGATGATGACTCTGTTGTCCTTGCTGCCAGTATCATGATGATGGCGACTATTCATACATATATATATATATACTATATATATATATATATAATATGTCACTAGCTGTCGTGATTATTCTCGGGAAGCCGGGGTCTAGGGTTTCTGCTAAACGGACTATACTGACTAGGAGTTTTGCATCTTGTCCTGTCAGAAACCGGAGGCGGCGACTCGCAACGCCTGGCACCGACAGCACGAATTCCCGGTACCGTGGCGGAAAACCTCACTTGGGGAAGCCTTTTCCGGGTAGCTCTGGACTTCCCAACCTTTGGTGGGTTAGCAGAGAAAGCCTTCAAGGCCAAAGGATCACCCCCCTAAACTTTAAGAATCCTGAACCCTTTTTTGCAGCAGGCTGGCGACTTCGCCCGGCAGTTGGACCCTGGAAGCCCTTCACAGCACGTTACACCCTAAGCCCTAAGCTTTAATACTCCAGAGGCTGCGAGTAAAGTGTAGGGGCTGGAAGGATTCGACAAGCCACTCGTAGTGATGTCTCGTGCCCGAGCTCAGTACACATCACATCCCAAGATCTGCTTCCATTGCGAAAACATGGGAGTTTCCGAAAACTAAGGTACCTTATTTTGGGCTTATAATCAGGATCCTACTATTTGGGGTACTATATTAGGGTCCCTATATTTGGAACCCCCACATGCCTGCCCCAGCAAGTTTCCTCAAGCTCACTTGAATTACGGGTCTTATCGCTCGTATCCCCATAATGATACCCGAAACTTAGACTCACACCCTAAACCCTAAACCCTAAACCCTGAGGTACCCTGTGGCTCAGGGCTCTAGTCCTTAAGGTCCTCCTCCAAGCCATCGGCATTCACGCCGCCGTCCGACCCTTGTGCTGTGGCAGCGCCTGAGATCAGGGGGCGTCTCTTGTGATCTCAAGCTTCGGTTCTTCCTGTGGGTCCCCAAGCCCACCATTCCACAGGATGTACCCTACCCTAAACCCTAAACATCCCTAAACCCTAAACCCTAAACCCCTAAGCCCTATCATTGACCAGCTGAATCTGAAGAGGTCAGCATGTGCGCTTTATAGAGTGTTGGGTTCAATCTGGATATCTCAGGGCTACGAGAACCTCTACTTCCCGTTAACTGTTGGTCATGGCGCCTGCAGGTTCGTTGCATATGGTTTTAAGTATTTTTCCACCCGCCGCGCTGGTTTGGATGTGGTTGCTGTAGCTCTTCTAGGTTCAAGTCCTTGGCTGCTGTGCTGCATCTGGTTTGAGTTTCTGGTCTTTGCCAGTCTTTCCAAAGTCTAAGGGTGCCTTTCAATCAAAGCGGGAGTCCCATGGTGGATCCGCCTTTCGCAGGTTGCAAACAACTGAAACTTCTGAAGCCGAGAAGCCTCAAACACAAAACTTCTGAAGTCGGAGACCAAATCGAAAGGCCTGCGCATGTAAGGAAATTGCGAGCCCTTTAGATTCCAAGAGACTTGCTAAGTTCTGCCACCCTTTTTTGATCTTTTTGGGGTTTAGGGGTGGTTTAAGGCTTCAGGATTTAAGGCTGGCCCTGTAGTCTCCGGCGCAGTCAAGCTGTTCGGTCAAAGTCTAAGGTTAGGATTCCACAACCAAAGAAACAAGGAAACCACCAAAGCAGACATGGGAGAGTTCAGAGTGGGTTTACCTGTTGCCCAACACCCTGCAAATTAGCAGGCCATGACACCCTAGCAAGGAGGTATACTGCAAAACAGTCGGCTTTTGGATCACGGGTCCAGATGACGCTTCAGGGCAGTTGTGGGGAACCATAGGGAGGACCAGCAACAAAACAACGCCAAACTCCTGTATGATCATACCATCTTATACTATAGTACTATAGTATACTTGAATGGACCCTACTATACAATATTAAAAAATATTACATTATGCTATGTTATTATCCTGTTATGCTATATCACACGTCCGTGCTGAATACGTGCCCCGATGTCCCCCACTGCAGCTTCGGCTTAAGGCAACCGTACTCTTCAGACTGCTCTGTTCGCCACGAAGAAAGAAGCAGGAAGTGAAATTTAGGCATCCAGCAAAAAAGCCTAAACCCAAAGCCCTAAGCCCAGCCTCAGCGAAACTTGAAACCCGCGAATCCATAGCCCTAAGCCGAAGGCCCTGCACTTCGTAACCACGCAGCCCCCATGAACGTAATGTGTATCCTGAACTACTAGACCACCGCCAAGCCCTTGCCCACGAGTTTGCTAGGTCCTACTTGACTTAACTTATACCACACTAAGGAACACCTATTCTCTTCTTCTTCTTCTCACAAGTTAGATAACTTCTGTGGGTTCCCTGGCCTTCGACAGAGCCAGTGGCAGAGTGGGCAGGCACCTGCAGGCAAACGAAGCTTCGTAGGCTTCATGGATTGGGTTTCGGGGCCGCTTCAGCAAAGGAGGTTTGCTACTACATCTGATCTCTGATCATATGGGGGTTTTATCGAAAATAGGGGACCCTAATATAGCACTTTTAAATAGTAGGATCCTTATTATAAGGACCCCAAAATAAGGTACCCCTAATTTTCGGAAACTCCCATATACGCATATCACTTCTGAAGCTAGGAGCTGGTTGAGACTCCAAGCCTCAGAAGGAGCCAAAGAGCCTGTGAGTGAATTTACCTCGTCGCCTTGGTCAGGCCAGGTCAGGTTGGGGTCATCAATGCTGGGGTCTTGTTTGAGGAGCTACGACTTGTCTTGAAGTTTGTTTCTGGGGGCCCGCCGGCCACATATCAGATTATCACTAGGCCACTAGGCCATGACCTCAAAGAGTGCCGATCTAACCCGGCTCGAGGACGTAAAATAGCAGCATTGCGCAATCAGTTGCACATCGGCATAAACGCACATGGCGCCCTGCATGCTGGAAGTCAGAACAATCTGTGCGTGCGTGTGACTGTGCATGTGTGCATGAAAACACACAAAGATATATGAATATCCTATAACGAAACAGATAAGCGTGTCTACGCATATATACATATCTGATCTGCAGATACACATGGACAGAACGGCATTTATGGTCAAACCACACATGCATCTAGTGTGTGTGCGTGCGTGCGTGTGTGTGTGTGTGTGTGTGTGTGCGCACGCATGTGTGTGTGTGTGTGCGTGCGTGGGTTTGTGTGCGCGCATGTAACCGTGTGTTGAAGCTGTTAGACCTCGCTGTATATACATGCTTCTATACATACATATATTTTCAACGGTATATATATATATATATCTACACATACACACACACACACACACTCTCTCTCTCTCTCTATAGATACACACACACACACACTCTCTCTCTCTCTCTCTCGCTCGTACACGCAGGCCAAAGGTACGCATGAATGTCTATATGTATGTATGTATGTATAATCGTGTCTCTGAACATGTATGCACATCTCCGTATGTATATGTATACATACATATATATATATATATGCATGTATGTACGTGTGTGTTTCTTTCCATGACAAAGAGTGTTTATAGCGTGCTTCACAATGTCTACCGAAAGATGGAATGGAGTGTATGTACATATGAAATGTATGTGTATATCGACTTATATGTGCACAGACGTACGTATATAACATATACGTATATGTATGTGTATACATATGTATGTACGTATGTGTGTATAATCATGTGTATGTATATATATATATATATATGTATATATATATATATACATATAGATACATGTGTATACGAATACATAAACATACATGCAAGTATGCCGCGTTTGTGGTCGATGTGCTCATACATACGGAATGCAGAGAGAGTATTCACAAGCAAAACTTAAAAAGCCTGAGAAGGAGTGCATGCATGCTGGGCGTGTATGGTTTGCAAAGACCTGTATACATGCAGTGTAACGGCCCGATGGCTGCATACAAAAAGCGTATGTCTTCGTGCATGTGCGGGCATGTGTGTACGAATTCATGTGTATATACACACACACATACACGCATGTAATATGTCTACGCAGACATATATATATATATATACACATGTTGGTGGGAGATTTTGGTGTGTTATTTTTTACACAGAAACGCATATGGAGTGACATTCCGGCTCATGCTGGCACGGGCACGGAAGGGAACAGCCCGTCTCCCCATTCCTGTCTGAAGCAGGAACTCCAGAAGAAATTCACCCTGATGGTAAGCCCTTCGCTATAAGCCTGACCCCTTAAGCAACAAAACCGCTGTTGGCTACAAGTTTACAGTTTTGTGTTGTACTTAAGAACCCAATAAGGATCAACAAATGAGCAATAGCCTCAACAGGGAACCAGTTGCGGTTTAGGACTTGACGGTTCTCGGGCTAGGGCTTCTGGTGAACACTCCGGCTTTATTTCAGGCCAGTCAAAGTCATGTAGGGCTCGCAATTACCATCCTTATGAGGGACAGGGTTGGCTTGATTAGGCGCCTAAAGAAAGCTAGCAAACGAGGTTGTATGGTTGAGTTCTTTTAATTTACGGTTTCTAGGTTCAAGGGCTTACTTCTCTTTCTTGGCTCCCTGAACCCTAAGCAGCCATGTGGGATTTTCCGAAAATAGGGGACCCAAATAAAAGCACCCTAGATAATAGGATCCTTATTATAAGGACCCCGAAATAAGGTACCCCAATTTTCGGAAACCCCTATGTTCGTTACCTCACACCCCACCGCTGCTCTCTGCTCCGTCCTGGCCTCGGCTGGTGTTGGCAAGAGCTCCTCTGAAAACGGCGCCCCGTTTTGGGGTTTCCGCGCTCACACTAGGATTTTTTAGGGGTTTAGGATTTAGGGGTTTAGGGTAAAGCCCATGTGCCAAATATACCTCCCCCTATCCGGGCCTTAGAGTTTCGGTTCAGAGTCCAAACGGTTCCAGAGACTCTTCGAAGGAACGGGGCGCGTGCCACTTCCCGGTGCTGGCGGAGTTTGCGTGCTACTTGTGATGGACAAAGAAGAGACGAAGGCAAGGTGAAACATGTCAGTGGTGAAGAGGAGGAGTGTAAGGTCGCCAAACCCTGCATCAGAAACCGATGTCCTTGTCATTCGTGATCTCTGTGACCAACTCTTTCGCAGCCATTGCTGCATCCAATTCCCGGGGGTCGCCCGGCGCCGACGTCGCTGAAGGTGTCCGGTCTTGCCCTGCCTGGGGTTCGTAGCCCGTTTAGGGGTCAGGCCCTTCAGGAAGTACGGCTTAAGATTTACAAAAGTCCTTAGTCTTTGTAAAGATACATGAGTTAAGCTGTTCTCGGGTTGTGGGGGTGTTTGGCGTGAGGGGCTTGTGTTTAGGCACTGCGCGCTCGGAATGTAAAGGGCTCTGAGGGCAGCTCAACCTGCGCCGCTGCGGAAATTCTCCAAAGCCCTCTTATTGACAGGTTTTGGACGTCGATGTTCCGAGGGTCATATTCTCTTCCCGTTCCCGACCAGCCCCCATTCATTCAATGATGTACTTTCTGCCACCCCAAACCCAAGAAACCCAATAAGCCACCACTTCGAAAGGAGGCAGATACAGCGCAGATACCGAACCCTAGGGTTTAGTTAGGGTTTAGAGTTTATATAAACCCTAAGCCCTAAACCCTAAACCCCTGGATCTTCCGGCATCTCTTCAACTGCGGATGGGGCCCGGGCATTTTGGTGAACTGCCGCGACTGCACCCTTCCGGAAGGGTTTAGGGTTTAGGGTTTAGGGTTCGTGGTACACAAACAAGGCATTGGCCTTGGTTTGCCTAGGCCTCATTTAATGGGTGGTTGTCCAAATTATGGTCCCTTTTTGGGTCCTTATTATAAATACGGCACCTATCATGTAGGGTACCCCAAAAGGGACCATAATTATGACAACTACCCATTTGTTGTGCTTCGTGATTATCTAGACTACCTACCGCCGTGTAGATGTGGGGCTCCAAGGTTTGGGTGCCGGATCGCTCGCACCATACGTGGAAGGCAGGTGTCCACACTTTCAACCTTTGCAGCTTGCTTGTAATTTGGTGTGCTCGCTCTACCTTGCATTCCGGTGGAGTATGCGTTTCTCTCTCTCTCTCTCTTGCTTTGGTCCCTTTGTCTCGCAATGCATGTCTGCCAGATACATACATAAATACGACATACATACAGACATACATACATACATACATACATACCGTACAAACACATAGTTAAGTACACATATGTGTATATATATATATATGCTTTGTAAATACATAGAGAGCTACGTATGTGGATGCATCTAGAGACACAGTCTTCAACAAGCCTATCGTCGTTACCAGCCACGGCCTCTCCTAATGGAGCCACAACCTTGAAGAGTGCACGTGGAACATCTTGCTAAGACTTTGGCGAAGAAGAGATACGTGTTTCTGTTTTGGGCTGAAAGTTGCTCGTATTCCCGTAGACTCCCTAAGCTCCGACGCACCAAACCCTGTGCCCTGGTCCCGGAAAAACAGTGAGATATGTAGGTAATTACAAGGGTCACTATGCTACGATTAAGCATATACAATGATCCTGACCGTTGTTGCTGCTATGTTGTTACGGTTGACTACGAGAACTCAGTTGCTTCTGGACAATTCGCACTATTGTGAAACTGCTTGCTGCTTGTAGTAAAGAAGAACAAGAGTTACCACTACGTAATCACAATATTAGCACGAACACTACTCCTAGTACTGTGATTGTTAGTAGTATGGTTAGTCTTATTCTTATCATTGCCCATTCAATTACCACCATCAATATTTTGACCATTGTGACTATCATGAAAAGTTTGGTTATTAGGATGCTTCATGAATTCATTCACTGCCGTGACTATTACCGCATCTTTTCTGATTGTTCTGTAGTTTGAAGACTCATGATAGTTCTACCAGCATTCAGAGAAACGAGAGCTCAAGCCCGCCTGCTCCACCCAATATCACTACGGGCATAGAAATAATATATGGTATTCTCACTAAATTAGGTTTGTGGAAATGTAAATCATCGAGTGATAGCAAGACAAACCAGAGAGCAAGTCCGCCTGCTCCACCTCGATTCCAAGTGCCATGCCGCTTCGGTCTGGCGCAGATGCACCGGAGACCTTTGGCAAAGCTTCGTTTTTTTTTGGGGGGGGGGTTGAGATGTTTTTGAAGCAATGGACCTGGTGAATGCCAGCACACCTGAGGGCCAAGGGATTTAGGATGTGCATGAAGTGAACCAGTGGCTGTGTACGTAGGTCGAAGACTGTTTGGGGAAATACATAGACGAGATACAATGTTCAGGAAGCAACCCTAAACCCTAAACCCTAAACCCTAAACCTAAACCCTAAACCCTAAACCCTAAACCCTAAACCCCATTTTGGTGCACAGAGCCCCCCCCAAAAGCCCCCGGGCGCCACTCACACCCCAGGGCTCAAGAACGCAAATCTCAAACCTTCACAGCGTCGCAAGCACTGATCTACATACAGTGCTTCACCCCGACAAGAGCGCCAAAACCAACTACAGTCTATGGGTAGTTCTCCCAATCAGGATGCCTTTTAGGGTCCCCTAAACCCTAAACCCTAAACCCTAAACCAATCAGGATGCCTTTGTAGGGTCCGTGTTACAAGGATGCCATACGATTTTGGGCGGCCTGAACAGAGAACTACATAGGAACCCCCAGACTGACGAACATAGCTTCTTTGTCCGCCAAGGATCACGGTTTAGGGTTTAGGGTTTCGGGTTTAGGGTTTAGGGTTTAGGGTTTAGGGCAAAAGCTAGCACATGAGCTGCTAGGCGCCCACGCAACTGTTGGACTCGGGGCGACTTGTGGCGAGATCACCTGGGCACTTTGAACTTCCTTGGGCGTTTGGATTTGGGAGGGTTTAGGGTTTAGGGTTTAGGGATCCCGAAGCTCCAAGAGCATGAAGCAGGATCCAAAGAGCCTCGCCGTACCAAGAAAGACTGTACATTGCAGGAGCCCGAAGCCCTCCGAGCTCTAGAGACGAATCAGCCGGTTAAAAACGCGACCTGAACTTTCGAGTTCGGACATTGCAGCTTCTGGTTCTCAGTTCTTTTAAAGGCGAATCCTGAGATGTAAAGGGTGTCGTGGCATCCCCTGTAAGACTCAACGCGGTTGGATACTCTGACACCGCTTATCTCGTCCCTCGTACGTTGCGGGCACACCACCCGTGCCGTACGATTCGCTGGATAACCAAGTTTCGGGGCCGACTGCCCGCACTATTTGCAAAAACCCTGTGCTCCCCAAACCGGCTGAAAGCCCAAACCCGAAACTTCAAGGGGGATTTATCTAACTGGTACATCATGGATATGGTTGCAAGGGCTGCGGCCAAAGGAGGGATAACAGCGGCTTGCTCCTGCCATCACACTCCTAAAGGAAACTTCCCAAGCCTCGAACACCCTGGCTAAACCTCAAGCCCGGAACCTCCTAAACCCCGAACCGCCCTGAGTCAGGTCTCTTAGTCGTGGGGCGTGCTGCTCTGGGTTCCAAAGGGTCCTCCTGCTCTTCGAACAAGGTTGCGAGTCTTGCGGGTCTTAGGTCGAGGCTCTCATCATTGTGGCTGTAAGCCATACGTCTAATGCGATGACGTATTCCTATTGATTGGGGCACGGTTAGTTACTGTTGGCAAAGGTCATCTGCTTTTATTTGGTTGCGGGCTTGCGCTATGCCGCTTCAGAAACCGAAGAACAAGCCATCGACCCGGCTGTGATCGCGTCAAAGAGCAATCGGATGGGGAAGAGAGCGACGACACAGTTTCAAGGCTCGGGGGTTGAGTGTTTCTGTTCAAGCTGTCTATGAAAAACCAAGCATCGCCTTGTTTATGATGCATGGGTCCGTGAAGGCCTTTCCTAAATCTGCAGCCGACCCGGCCTGCGACACATCAACGGCGGCAGCGGTGGATGTCGCGGCGGCTCTCACGAAGGCTGCAGCCGCGAGCCGTTCTGCATCCTTGGCATCGGTGGTCGGTGGTTATAGGCTTTGCAAGTTTCGGGGGCCGGACTGAACGAGCTTATGCGCCTGATGTCGCGCAAAGGACTAGATGATTGGGCTTGCGAACTAGAGTAAATCATGTAGAAGGATTTGAGGAATGAGGAATCATGGAGCGGACGAAACAAGGGTAACTAGACGGTAGGATTTCGTTTCGTTCAGCTGTGCATGTATTGAGGGCCCTAAGGCCAAGCATCACTCAAGCATTCAAGCCCCTCCGCCAGTCTGACATCCTGTGGAAGCTGGAGTATTAGGGGGCAGTGCAGTTCAGCATGTCTTTTCCTTGAAGACGTGGGACGTGGAAGTATTCCATGCATAGTCTTCCAGTCCAGAATACCAGGATCACATGCCGGGAAGAATCGGTCTTCAAGCGTTTGTGCATGTTTCGAGAAAAAGGAAACAAGCTTTGTGTTGGCTTGTAATTTGTTATTTCCCCGCTGCAGGGGACCGAAAACTTTCCTAGCTGTTCGACCTCTATACGCGACCCTGAGTCCTGAACGGCACTGAGCCAGGGACGGTCAAACTGCCGTCCACTGACCCTTGCATCACCACGCTGCCTGTGCGCGGACTCGAAAGTTCGCTTCCTGAAGGCTTTACTCGTATTTTCGACTGCCTACTGGTGTACCATTATATATATATATATATATATGTGCTGTTTGCTGTCTTCTTCTTTGGTTCCGACTACTGGTCACGCTCAGGAAATAATTCTATAGTAAAAGTTCCATTTCCACGTATCACAAAATAAAAGGAGGTTGCTTTAACGTAAAGTATCATCCACGAAGAAACCAGAATAAACATCAAGTCAAGCCTTAAAGCCCAAATCAACCCCAGACCTGGATTCTCGTAGCAGTTCCTGAACATGTGCTTTTCCGGGCCCTGGGTTGGTGTAGGGGCGCGAAAAACCTGGGATTTAAGGTGTTAAGTTTGCGCTCTTGGAGTTTAAGGGTTTGGGCCGTAGGAGTGGGTTTGTGATGCTTTCTTTTCAAGATTTTCTGGACTTAGGATGCAAATGGATGTTGGGTTCAGGGTTCTGAGGTTTGTTTTGGCTGCACACATCTCAGGCCCAACCCACACCCTTCACGATGAGCACGTGAAGATCAAGGCCTGAAGGGGACCCTGATCCTAGGGTCTACGCTCTCAGAACTCGGACAAGCCAGGCCAGGTTCAACAGGTTCGAGTCGGCGTGATAAAAAGCTGTTGTAGACCCTAAACCCTAAACCCTAAAACCCTAAACCCTAAAGGTTTAGGGTTTCGGGCTTGGGTGTGGGTTTTTTCCACCAACCCAGAGTCGCTTTGGGGTTTAGTGTGTAGGGTTTAAGGGTTTAGGGTTTAGGGTTTAGGGGTTTAGGGTTTCGGGTTTAGGGTGTGTAGGGTTTAGGGTACTCTATACGATTACGAAGCCCGAGGCCCAACTTCGGGAGCCTCACTGGCCCCCGCAGAGAAACAGAAAGGCTAACCGGGTAAATCACGATCCGAAGACTTCAAATCTCGGGTACTGCAGTATAAGTCTCAACCCCAAACCCTGGATCTTAGAGTAAAGTCAACAAATTCCAGGAAAAAAGCAAAACCCACCACGAAAACATGACCCTGAAGCATGAATCCAAAGGCCACAACTCCAGGTAGTATTGTTAGGGCACCCTACTTTTGGCTCTCTTAAGAGCGACCTTATCGAGAGGGTCTATATCCCCAAGGGTCCTCCCTAATCCTAGCTCCCAAACTCCGAAGCCCGAAACCCAGACTTTTATGGCTAAACGTCAGCCTTCTATGGATGCCGTGGGAGTCACCACTGCACCACGGGCTGCCGCCTGCACCCGGCAACACAAGCTTAATGTAAGGGCTGTGCAGGGGCTCAGGGTTTAGGGTTTGCTTAGGGTTTAGGCTTTCAGTGGGCGTGACAGAGTTGGTTGGTTTAGAGAGCCTATGTTTTTGTTTTTTTTTTTTTTAAATCTGGGTGCTCAGCGAAACAGACAAGGGCTGTGTACCCAGACGCTCCAAAGATACCACCATTGTGGAACTAGGCCCCCAAAAGACAATTGTCAAAATGCTTTTGGGGACCTCCTTCCATAATTGTAGCATATGTGGAGCCTTTGGTGTAGGGGGTTGCGGCGCTCACACTGTGTGGTATCTGCATGTTTTGCCTCCTGCATTGCTGAGCGAATCACCAGGCAGGAGGGTTTGGAGTTTCAGCGGGCGTTATAGGGCTTAACAAAGTCTAGAGAGTGCCTATGTGTCGTTCAAAAACGGGTGTTTATAAGCTTTGCCCCATCTTGTTCGGGCTCTCTTCCGAAACAACAGACTCCTTAAACCACCCCTCAGGGAGCCTCACGGCTCCGGCCACATCTCGAGAAGCTGAGGTTTTTGCTCAAGATAGATTCCGAGAACTAAGCTCCAAACACCCTCAACGACGGTACAACATAACATGGTCGCAAAACAGGTTCTTTTGTTTGCAAGGGAACCAAGCTACCGATGACTGGGGCTGGCGCAGCAATGCTTAAACCCTTACGGCTGTGAGGTCTGGAAACCTTTTAGGCCAGGACTCGCTGGGTAGCAGACGTCAGTACTTAGACGTAAGACCAAATCTGACCATCTCTCATCACTTGACTATAAGATCATAGCAGGGTACATGACATAAGCCCTAGACCTTAAACCTCACCCTAAAAACCCTCAACTTTGAATGCCCCAACCCGAGAAGTGCTACTCCGTACACTACACAGAGGTCGTGCCTGCAAGGCATTGTTCACTTGCTCCTCGACGAAATCCTGGCGGGGACCCTCCACCCCGAACCCAGGAAAATGAATCATTTAGGGTTTCGGGTTTAGGGTTAAGGGCTGATTAGACTGGTGTTTTGGCGTGCTGTTGGCACTGTATTAGTCCTTCAAGGAACAGTGTTGACTGCTACGGGTACCCACAGCGAAATCTACTTGTCTAGTCTTTATCACCTCTTGCGGACTTTGTAGCAATCACAAACAAGCCCTACAAAACATGTGGAATCAAAGTCCCCTTTAATCCTAGAATCTGCACATTACCCTACGAGACACGATGCCTAAAGCAGTACAGAAAACCCCAACCCTACGGATTTTTGTGCAGTAGCCCATCAAGTCCAAGAGGATGATGATGTAGGAGCCGTAATGTGGGGGCCTTAATCACAATTAGAATAGGGCTTTGGGGGAATATTGTATAGATGTATAGACTCTCTCTCTCTCTATATATATATATATATGCAATTGTAAAAAGGAACCCCCAAACTAGTATTGGCAATTATGGAGGCCCCTACGCTAACCAGATAGATGAAGGCCTGATCCGAAAAACTCTGAAAGACAAAACCCTCCATCGACGGACGAATCGGGCGCTTATGGGGGTTTCCGAAAATAGGGGACCCTAATATAGTACCCTAAATAATAGGATCCTTATTATCAGGAGCCCAAAATAAGGTACCCCCCTATTTTCGGAAACTCGCATATGGGCTCCCAGCAACTGCCTAGAAGCCCTGAGACCCGAACCCAGGGTTTAGGGTTTACGGTTTTGGGTTTAGGGTCTATAGGGTTTAGGGTTGAGGGTTTTAGGGTTATGGGTTTCGGCTCTCACACTCGGTTTTGGGTTTAGGGTTTAGGGTTTAGGGTTTAGGGTTTAGAAGGCCTGAGCCCTGACTTTGGCTGCTAGAGCTCCAGGAGTTCTTGTGAGTCTGACACAGAAGTTGTCTCAGTCTTACGCGGGGCCTGAAAAATTTAGCTATGCCCTGACCAGAAAATCTATATAATGTATATATATATATATATGTGTGTGTGTATACACACATACACTATATATATTATATATATATATATTTATTTATTTATTTGTTCGTTTATTTATATCTTTCCCCACAGCCCTCACCATCCCAAAAGATCCAGACTTCCCAGAACCCCGGAACCCGCGAGACCCCTAAAAACGCGGCTGCCTGCGTCTCGGCCTCCAGTTCCATCGGACCCGTCGCTACACTCGCGGCCCGGTCCACCTCCACAGATGTTTCCAAGGGATTCGAACAGAGAGCTTTACTGCCGGTAGGCCCCATAGTAGTTCCTTTTTGAGATTCCCTAAAAGGATCCTAAATAGAAGCCACAAAAAGGAACTACTATGGGGCCTATGGGTAGAGCTTTAAGGCTTTTCTTCAACAAGTGCTTTTGTGCTTAACCCTCTTTTCTCTCGCCGATGTCTGGGTTTGGTTCTTCAAGGGCTTTTTCCCTCAAGGGTTTCGGGTTGCAAGGTTTAGGGTTCAGGTTTTTTTGTTGAGAGCCCCTTTCCACCTCGCAACAAGTCACGAACGGTAGAGAGCCTCAATGAGGCGGGCTAGTAAAAGACCCCTCAGCGACCATAGTCCCTAAACCCTAAACCCTAAACCCTAAACCCTAAGCCCTTTCATCTCTTCAGGGTTTTGGGGTTTGGAGCTTCACGGATTTTTGGGTTGAGGGTGTCGGGGGTTGCCAGGTGCACCTCCACAGATTTAGGGCCCCAAAAAGCACATAAGCAAAAATTAGGATAGGGATATCCCACGTAAACCCCCTTATAATGAAGCCCAATAAGGTAGGGATATCCCTATAAATTGCTTGTGCTTATGTGTTTTTTGGGTTCTTAAAGATTTCGAGGGCTTCAGGGTCCAGGCGAACGTCTCCGGTTTCAGGGCTTAGGGGCTTCATGACCCAAAACACCACCCCACCCCTTGCAAACCAAAAAACCCGGAACACCAAAACGTTGCATGTGGAACGAAACGAAGGTCAAGCATGAATGATCATTCCGATCTAACTGGATCTTGTTACGTGCCGCAAATAGAAGAGAGAACCGCTGACGATTGTGCGAATTAGAACGCTCACCAAAACGGTGATGGTTCTAGCGAGCAGAAAGCAAGAGTTCGAACCCCATGCGCAATGGCTCGAAAAACAAGAACTGGCCATAACTGGCCCCTATAGTAATAGCCAGGCGCTGAATCCGCAGAAGGGGTGTGGGGGAGGTTGGGGAAAAGCCTGAAGGGGGGGGGATTTTGCTCAACTGAACTTAGATTCAAGTTTAGGGCTTCCGGTGTGTTCTGCAACTGGCCCTGAAGTTGAAAACGGACTCTCCAGAATTGCTCTCAAGAGCATTGCCGTTCAAGAAGACGAAAAAAGTGGGGACAGCGCGGCGTCTGATCGAAAAACCGCAGAGCCGTGTTCGGCCTTGCTACACTGTGCAAAACTTCAGGAAAATCACGGTACGGTGTCGTAGTGCACTGGAGGACAGAAACCTGAGTTGCCCAAGTCAAAGGCCGAACTTCAGTTCTTTGAAATCAAGTTGTCCAAACTGCAGCTCCCAGGGAAGCCCTCAATGAAGGACATGCTGTCGCTGGCTTCCTCGTCTTAGAGAGAGTGCTGTGGCTTTTGCACGTCGATCTTGGGCTTGGCATGTCCTAAACCCAAACTGCCGAAGTAAAACAAACCGCTGTAGTGCTTCAGAACTTCTAATCCAAAACGAGGCCTTTCGAGTGACGTCCGTGATCAGCTGCTGGGCGACAGACTCGATGGCCACCTCTTTTTGGGCCAGTGACCGAGTAGTACCTACTTAGTCGGCTACTCGCCTCGAGCAGTGTGCTTTGCAGCCTATGTAGGGACTGTGTAACACTAAACAGTGAACTGGGCTAATCACTTGGGCTTCATGATGTGATGGGGATGCTCAACGCGGTGTTCAAAGGCCTCAGCTTGAAGTGCAAGTGCACGTAGACCATGGGCTCAAGGTAAACCGGGACGGTGCCCGCAGCATCCATGTCGTGCATGACAGGAAAATAAGGTACCATACTTCCCACAACAGCTCCTTATTCACCCCGCTTATAACCTAAGTACCAAGTCTATAAGGCTTCTAAATGGACTCAGGCCCGATGGCCCTAGCCATGACCCTGACCCTAAACTCTACCCCGCAAGCCCGAAAAACCTCAAGTCCTACATCCTAGAACCCTGAAGCGGCAAACCCTGACAAGCACAGAAGCCATAAATGAACGCCTCAAAAAGCTTACTGAGAAACTGCTGGGACCTCGGTGGCCTGTGCGCCAGCAGAGAATGAGCCTTGGAGCCCGTCCACAGTGATGCACCCTAAACCCTAAACCCTAAACCCTTGTTTATAGGGAGTAGGGTCTTCGGGTTTTTGTGGTTTTAGGGTTCGCCGTGTCTGATTGGTCTTTGAGGTGTAGGGTCGAGGTTGGTGCAGCAGTTTACTGTAGGGGCCTTTACAACTAGAAGAGGCTTCTGGAAGGGTTCCTTATTATAATTGTGGCATATGGGCAGTTGTCAAAATTATGGTCCCTTTTGGGGTAACCTAAATAATAGGTGCCGTATTATAATAAGGACCAAAAAGGGACCATAATTTTGACAACCACCCATATAAAGTAGCCCCAAACCCTATTTGTTAAGGCCCCTTAGCCCTCCCTTAAAGGAACCCTATTCTAAGTATTAAGGCCCCTACATAAGAGTCCTAACTATAGTATAATATGCTCCCAAACCCTATTCTAATTATTCAGGCCCTATATATGAGGGTTCTCAGTGTGATCAAGGGTCTCAGGCTTAGAGTTCTTGGGCGGCTCGGCCCTTGTGGCTCGCGGGGGATTTAGGGCGCAAGTGCCCAGAGAGCCCAATACTACAGCGCTGGAATCGAGTCCACATCCGTTGGCATAATACCCCTTAATTATGGAATATACCTTAAATCATAATATTAAGGCCCCCTATAATTTCAGGGATATTCCTTAAGGCCCCCTATAATTTAAGGGACATTCCTTATTTTTTGGTGTATTGGGTTCTCTGGGTAGGGCATCGAAAGGGTTGCCTCTAGGGCCCGAAGGGCTGACGTAGCGGCAATGAAGGAGAAATGGCCGTCTACCATAAGACTTCTTACGGTTTAGGGTTTAGGATTTAGGGGGGTTTAGGGTTTAGGGTTTAGGGTATGGCCGTCTACCATAAGACTTCTTACGGTTTAGGGTTTATAGGGTTTAGAGTTTAGGGTTTGGGGTTTAGGGTATGGCCGTACACCATAAGACTTCTTACGGCAGCTTGCTTTGCTCATCTTCGGCCAACTGTAGCTTCCCAACCCGTGGGGTTTAAGGTTTCAGGATTTTGTGCTATAAACATCTTCTAGTCAGTCGCTGAGGCGAATTTCGGGCTTAAGAAGCTAAGAAGAAGCTAAGGTTCAAGGGCTTGGGAGTGTGAGGTTTAAGCTGCTTTCTGGTCTGTGGCGAATAAAGATTCGACGCAATATCACTCATCAAGAGCCCCGTAAAGCTCGAAAGCCGCACCCTAGATCTGTTTCGTTCTTCAGAGCTTCTGTGTGTAGATAGGCATTGACAACTGAAGTACAAGGTAGGTCCCGCAGGGCACAAGCAAGTCGGGCAGAGCTAGCTCCTGAAAGCCGCGAGACCCTAAACGTGCCTGGAGCCTTGAACCAGTTTCCCCTAGTCTATAAACCGTTAACCCAAATCGTAAACCGCTTTCCCTGAACCGTACGCTGTACCGGAGCAGCTGCATCCTCAGCCCATGTGAAGGCTGTGGGGTTGGGTTTGCTCAGTCATCCTCACTTCATGTACGTGATCGTCTCAAAAGAATAAGCTCCCTCTTCAGCTCACTCCATCATGTGTGCCTTCACCCCCTGTCAGTTGATCATACTGTAGGGCACTGCCGGGGCCTAAATCATTAGAATAGGGCTTTGGGCTCCATGGTACTATAATCATCTAGTAAGGAGCTCCCAAAATGGCATAGGTAAATGATTTAGGCCCTATTTTGCTCTATTCCCCCCGGTTTTGTCTGAATCGACCTGGGGTCCGACTATGGACTCTCGACCTCACTCAAAGCGAGCCCGCGCGCCTCAACGCAAAACCCTGACCTCCCAGACCCCAACACCTGGCCACTAGTAAATACCTATAGGCCCCAAAGTAGTTCCTTTTTTGGGTTCATTCAGACTCCAATAAGGTAATCCCAAAAAGGAACTACTATGGGGCCTATGGGTAGTTCGGAATTACGGAGCTCTTGCAGAAATCTTCGTGTAATTGGCTTCAGGGTTCATACCAGTGGGCTGTGATCCTCTGTTACAAAAAGCTTTTTTTTGAACATATGAAAGTCCCGCCACCACCCTAAACCCTAAACCCCCGTAAAGGCTCTGAACTCTGAAGGTCCGGCCGCCGGATGGCAATGAGCTTCCCGGAGCCTTCGAGATGAGCGGCTTCTACCAGAAAAGCATCTACAAATCCGTATATATATATACAAATATATATATATGAGTACATACGTGCACTTCCGTACATACACACACATATACAACAGTGTATATATATATGTATATGTATATGTATGCATGTATATAACTATGGTCACCTCCTCTCTTTGTGGAAAGGCTTGGGTCTTGAGCTTCAGTGGAGCCCTCTGCACACCATACATGCATGTATACATATATATATATATACATTCACAGATGTACATCTTTGTATATGCATATATACTTATATATATAAATATATATATATATATATGTAAGTGCCATTTCATATTATACCATATCCCACATACAAATTATGGCACCATATCTCTGATAAGAACAAGCATAATAATCAAGTTAATGCTAACCATCATATTGATTATCATCATCAGAGGATACCTAGAAGTAAAACTGTACAAGTCTATTTTGTTTGGAATCGGGTTTGCAGGCTTATGGGGCGGTTTAGGTCCGTTTTCTGGGTTAGGATCTAGGATGTGTGTTTCAACTTCCCGTGCCACCACGAGCACAAACTACTAGGGGCTAACTCCGAAAACATCCAAGTAGCCGGTACATCGAACACGTCCCCCTAGTTCAACAGTACGGGCATCGCAGAGGGTTGCATTGTTTGAGGGCTTGGGGCGCTTTTTTTGCCTCCCAGCTAGCTAGGACAGAGTTGAAGGTTTTGGGAGAGCGACTGCTACCAAGGGCCCTCGGCCGACTAAACCTCAACGCGCAACATCCAACGAAGCACCGGAGTCCATGGCAGGCACCCCACTTCCCCTACTCTTGGGCAACATGTGCCTAGATATTCTGGTCTAGCCTATCGCCTTGACTAAGGCTCCTGTATGAATAGTCATAACTAACAAGAACAAAACATAAACAAAGTGCTCATGATGATTAGTTGCATTTGCTTTCATTGCTAAGTATTAGTAATCATTATAATGGCTGTCTTTGCCTTAAAGCCCTACCACATGGGGCATCAACTTTGAGGTGTTTTTTATGCTTTAAAACCCCCCAAAGAAGCCGGACCCCCAAACTCCATCCCTGCGGGGAAGATCCTAAACCAAGTGACCCCCAAACCATCCCGCTAATCCCTAGTACGTGCATAACAGCCTAGATGAAGCATACTGCCGTTTTGGTCGAATATTAACCCCAAAATTGGCCCAAAATGCTTTAGCCACCAAACACTACGCCCTAACAACTCCAGACCCCAAGAACCAACCTCCCGAGCAACAGGCTGCGTAAACAATCGTATCGCTCTACATACCCTCCATACTTAGCTCCATAAGCGTTTAGGGCCTTTAGGCTTCATAAACCGAAAAAAAACACCCTCCTAAAACCACTGGACCGGCTGTCTTGCTGCAAGCCTGTTGCTGCACGGACCCGATGGAAACCTCAAATCGAATTTTGTTGGGCTTACGTAAGGCCTCAGGCTTTCTTAAGGCCACAAGAGCCGCGTACGAATGTGGTGTATCCTGTGGCACTGAAGCACCTGCATAGGCCTCCCTTTGAGGGCTAAGTATATACGAAATAAATACATTGTATCTCTTTGCAGGGTTTAGCATTTAAGGCTGGACGTAACTGCAGGGTTTTGGGCTTGGATCTCAACTGTTGGGCTTGGTGATCGAGCTCTGAGTTTTAGAGCGTAATTTAGCGGACTTAAAACTAGAATCTGGTTTTGGGGGGTGTAAAATCTTATAATGATAATACAGAGCCCCCAAAACTGAAGGCCGAGGGCTCTGAGCTTGAAGTGGCTTGGTACCGCTTACGGACGGCGAGGGCACGATTCCTGAGGCTTCTACGGCTGAGTATAGGGGTCCTAAATATTGTAATAAACCTTCTGGCTTGTGAGTTGATTGTTATATAATTCGCCACACAGGGGCCATAAGGGATACTGTTAGTCAGTGCTCAGACCTCTAAACTGTGGGCGTTAGGGTTCCGGCGGCTTAGGGGGTGAGGCTAGTCGGTTTCGGGTTTAAGGTTTCGCGGTTCAGAATATTTGGGTTCAAATGGTGCCGCGGTGCCGGGCTTCGCAATGCCGAACCTTGTTTATAATAACCCCAAGCCACAAAATCATAGAACATCTGAGAGAGCGCACAACCGTGGGAGTCCCGCCCATCTGCGCGAAGCTAGCCTCGGCGTTGTTGTTCGGTAGTTTGGGGCATGCCTCCTCCAAACTTCGAAGCTAACGTCCCGATTCACAAACCCTGGGAGCTGAATTCTTAATGTCTCGTGAAACGCTGAAGCTAGGGGGCATGCTCCCTACAGACGAAGCCATCGATCGTCTTTGGTTGCGGGCTTCCGACAACCAGCCCTGTAGGCTTCAATAGCTTGAGTCACTACACACTGCATAAACCCTAGCCTTATAAACTTATAATTATGCCTGACACTACATGTGCGCCCTCCTCTTAGCATGGGCTTGTACTTACACATGTAGACTTGAAGGGTTGCATAACCCGACTACAGAGGGAGGTCTAAGCTTTTCCGTGGGCAAACCAGCGAAACTCGCGCCCAGAAAACGGCGCCGAAGGTGTTGTCTCCGAGGGCCACAGAGTTGAATGAGTAGGGTGAGTAGAGGTATGTGGTTGAAGCTAAGAGGGCGTAGGTAGTCCCGGATGGAGACCCCTGAACAAATTAAGGGGGATCAGTAAACCCCCGCTCTCTTGAAGGATCTTAAAGTGTTAAATTAAAATCGATATTCTACTCTCTACTCAAAAAAGGGGCGGGCTGTTTATCTAAGGGTCGACATGAAAGCCAGCTCCTGTCATCAACCATGACAGTAGGATCCTCGTAACCTCCAATCCCACTCGCCATGCGGATGGGCTCTTCGCATCGGTGCTCACGAGCAAAAGACTCTATCCTGCATGAATCCCTATAGCCGGCGATACATGTACAGCTATGATATGCTGTGATAGTTTCTTCTCTCCAAACCCAAGTCCTCGCTATGCTACAGGGAAAGTCAACCTAGACCCTGTCCTAGTGACGTGACTTGCTCAGAACTCATAACTGACGGTGCTTCAGAAGGCTGCCTACTCAGCTGCCACCCAAACTGACTGAGCCCCGATTTCCCAGGGCCACCGCCAAGGGAGGGATCGTCACCGGATCTTCCCGTGAATCCTCGCTTTTCTCGCTGCTCTTAAGTACTTTGGGACTTCAGGTTCCCTCGATTGTGGGAGAGGGCGAGGGAGAGAGGTCGTGGGAGCTAAGAAGAATCACATACCTACTGCAGAAAGAGGCTTCTGTGCGCGGTTCCACCGTCCAGCGCCCGGTCGGAATTCCATTGGGCTCTAGTCTAGGTTGTGGCTTTCTTGTTTTCGACAGCTCACCTTTGCAATCCACAGGCACAGACTGCTAGAAGCCGATGTAATTTGGGCAACCCCTTAAGTGAACCATAAAAACATATAAAAATTCTAGCTCATAAACCCTCTGCATCCATAAAAGATATAAAACTTCTAACTCATAAACCCTCTACCTCCCTATGTCCTGCAACAGCTCCATGGCTCCCACGGACGACGGGGCGGCAGCGGCACGCACTGCCGCGGCCGCGAGCTGCTCGGCATCCTCGGCATCCCGCGGCGAGGGACCCTAAAAGATCCTTTTAGAGGAACCCTTCTAGCACCCTTCAAAGGGCGAAGGGGGTCTGAGTTTTTTAGTTTGCGTTCTAGTTTTGGATGCCCTTCTTGGATGGTTTAGGGTTAAGAGGTCTGAGTTTTTTAGTTGCGTTCTATTTTTGGATGCCTTTTTTTGACGGTTTGGGGTTTGGTGGTTGAGGGCTTGTTGTTCTCTGGGTTTTTGCGGTGGGGCTGAGGATTTGGGGGACTATGTGCCTTCTCTCTTCCCGATGTACATGACTCTACGCGGGTCATACAGCGATAGATGGGACGAACAGTAATCGTATTCATGGGATGCACATATGCACAGCTGCCGAGACACAGCAATGATAGGATCCACGCGAATGCTGCATTCTGCAAGTCCCGTATCTGTGTTTCCGACCGGGAGAGCACTTATACGTCTTCTCTTCAGGACCGGAATCGCTCTCCTCTGCTGTCCCTTGCTGCACAGACCCTAAATTGCCTTAAATCCCGCTTGCCGTCAGGCCCGCTTAGCCCCAAACTGTCCTACAGCCTGAAATGAACACCTAGACTCCTAGACCATATAAGTCCCATCCCAACCACTCTGAACCGTGTTGCCAAGGCCAGTGCCGTCATGCTGCCGCCCTCAGATCCTGGCATCACAACGCTGCCTGCGAGCCGGGCTGTAGCAATCAACCCCAGGCCCGCAAAACAACTCCCAAACCCGTTGTGAAATGCAATCCTCAGGTCCCGCTCCCCTGAGTTCTTACAAATCTGCAACACAGGCTTCTACCAATTAAGGCCCCTGCATGAAGCCCAGATGTTATGAAACCTTCACCCCTAAACACTAAACCCTAAACCCTAAACCCTAAAACAAACGTCATCCGATGCCTTCGATCGACCCGGTAGGAGACACAGTCGCCCCACGGGCCGCTGCCTTCAAGCAGGAGCTTTGTGGCGCTCTTGGTGGTGTTGAGGGTTTTAGGGCACCGAGATCCCCTTCGGACGGATTCCAACAGCAGGCTTTGGAGAGCGAATGCTTCGGAACGCGAGCCCGGCGACACACCTTCCCTAGGGTGCCGGTGCCCTAATGCAGGGGCCTTAATAATTAGAATGGGGTTTGAGGGTATATTCTGCCATAATGACATTGAGGAGCCCCCAAAATAGTATTGGTAGCTATTTCAGCCCCTACGAGAAACCTTCTTGGATCACTGCCCCTTGCCTTTCAACTCGAAGCGCTCAAGAGACCTCCCGGACCTTGTGAGCTTCTTGACAAACCTGTAAAACCGACAGCTCGAGGCCCCGGAACCTTACTAGCAGACTGTGAAACCTGTAGACTCCTTCGCCATCTAGCACACACGTTTAACTCCTACACCCTACTGAACCTTACAGCCCTGGACCTAAACAGGTGCCTACCGAAGAAAGCTCTTGCTTGTACGCCATCGGTATCTTGTGCAGGGCTGAAATACACACACACACACACAAAACACACACACACACACACACACACACACACCAACCACACACACACACACACACTTGAACACCCAGGCTTCTGGGACGATGCATTCGTGTGGTGACTTCAACTCAGCAATAAGCTCAAGCAATAAGCTCAAGACTCAGCTGAGACTTCAAGAGAACATGTTGCCATGGATCTCGAGGCTTGGTTGACCTTCCCTCTGTCATCATTCGGCCAAGGATGGAAGCAACAGCTTTGAGGGTGCTTTTGGGCGGCCGTTTAAAGCAGC